TCTTGTCTGCTTTTGATTTAGTTTTCTGTGTGAATTCTATTTCAAATAATATCACTTATATCTTGAATCTTCTGTATGAATTTTCCTGATATAATACTATATCTGATTCTTCTTAGTGAATTATCTGGATATATTACATCACGTAACAAAAAAAGATTACATAGAGAGGGTAAGAATTTAATTAATTACATATAAAATTAGGAAATAATAAAATATTATTGGTTATTTATTATTAAAAAATTGATCTATCATAGTCTATTTCATTATAGTTATCTTTCTTATATTAATACTAATATATTTATTAATAGCTTTGATATATTTAAATAATTTCTCAGTATTATCTTGTTATAATAAAAAATTATATACTACTTCTAAGCTTTTCAAAGTCTTATTAAAATAAATTATTTCAGACTCAGTATTATTATTAGCTTTCTTACTATTGCTATTAGTAAATAAATCTGATTGCTTTCTATATAATTCTACAAGTTTTTTATTATTAAGAATTATATAAATCTTCTATTCTTCAGAACTATCTAAAAATTCTTCAATTAATATAGTATCAGAAAGATTAAGAAATATAAGTATATCATAAAAATATGATAAGAAGTTAGAATATAATAGTTGACTTTTTTATTTAGTTTTTATTTATATTATACACATAATAATTTCTTTATTTAGATCTTTATCTATAATTATGAATACAAATTTAGTATAATTTCTTGATGTAATATTATAAATATCATATGAAAGTTATGAATATACATTTAGAGAAAGAAATTTATCTATGGTGAAGATTCAAAAAATTATGTAGTTCAGAATATGAAGAGTGTGTATTTATATCTAATTCTCAAGCTTAGAAATAAAAGATAGCATATATTTATGAAGAATATATATTTATGAAGGGTGTATTTATAGAGTATTCACTATAATACTATAATAATTTATATATTCAAAAATATATAAAAGGATCTGCTATCTTAGCTTGAAATAAATAGTTTTTAAATTGAATTATTTGAAAAATATAATTAAAAAACTTATTATCATAATAATAGTAATCTTTTTAAAAGATTCTTTTTCTAATTATATTAGTACTCTTTCTCTTACTTGATTTTATTTCTTTAATTATACAAAGTTAATTTTGATTTTTGAATTATAATATTCTATAATTTTTGATTTTTGATATTATTTTGAGAGTAAAAGATCTCTATTATAAATAAGTTATACTTTTTATTTTATTTATTTTATTTTTTGAGAGTAAAAGATCTCTATTATAAATAAGTCATACTCTTTTTATTTAGTTATTTAGTTATTTAGTTTATATACTTTGTTTTTAGCTTTTATTAATTATAGCCTTCTTTAATTAATAATAGTTTTACTATTTAATCATCTCAAATCTTGAATTATATTGATTATTAATAACTTTACTAAGCTGATCTTTATAATTTCTCTAATTTTTTTATTTATTTCTTTATTTTACTCTTTTAAAAATAATATCCATAAATATTGGAACAGGTCTTAAAAATCTTTGTCATTATTAAAAGTATAATCTAATTTCTCTCTCTTTATCTATAATTATTTCAGTCTCTTCCAATCCTATATTATTAAGATGAATTCAAGTGAAAATCCACTTATCAATTCACTGTAATAATATTCAATTTATATAATTAAAATTAATAATTTATTTATATTTAATATTTATTTTATTTTATATAAATATATCAATTTTATTCTGTAATTTATCTTAAATCTGAATATTATTCAAATAATTAAATCATAAGTATTTATAAATTGAAATTATTTACTTTGTATTTTTATCTTATAAATAAATAATTTTACAAAAATATATTAGAAAATATATAAATATTATAGAATAAGTTATTTCAGAAACATTAAATTTTGTATTTTTATTTTACATTTGAAGATTTGCATAGCTTTTTTGGAAATATATAAATTTGTATAGAGTGGTAAGCTTGTCAAGTATGATATAAAGCTTGTAATAAATACTGCAACTGTTACAACATGATGATGTTCTATTTGTTACAATGTTACAACTCAAAATTACTAAGATTACAACTAGTTGCAATTCAGTGATGCTTATTTATTATAATGTTATAACAGTTGAGAAGCTATCTTTATACAAAGCATTATAAATCATATAAATATATATCTAAAAATGTTTTAGAGAAGCTTACTAAAAAAATTGAAAAGGATAAATAGTTTTTTGCGTGATATTATAATATTATGTGTTTGTATAAACTTAATAAGAAATTGTTGGTTATACAAAATAATTTATTAGTAAAACATAATTCATTAATGTAATTTTTATTTCAAATTGAACTTATAGATCATGTGTTATAGCATTTTTGATTATAGAGGTTCCCCACTGTAGCAATTTTACAAATTTCATTACAACGGAAGAATCCGATTGCTGAACTGAACCTCAGCTTCACGAATATGATAGTATCTTTAAATCTCAGCAGAATCTCTAATATGAATCTCAAATTCATCTTTGTCAGGCTTACAACTCTTATGTAACCTCCCGCTAACGTTTCACTTCGTCATCTTCCTCTTTTTGTCTGGTACGGGAAGGCATGAACACTTGACTTTATGAAAGCTCATAATTTCTCCTCTCGTGTTTTGCTACAAGCATAACATCTGGTTTTCGGCCACTTCGTCCATCCCTCTTCGATCGGCACGGCTTAACAAGTCTGTCTATGGTACGTGTGATTTAATGGAAAATGTTAAGAGACTTCGTAAGGTTTTAACTAACCGCATTGCAGAGTTCGATGTTGTGTCAGCCCGAAACGAACAAATGGACAGTGAATAACTGAACATGCGTTTTTCGAAGGCTTCAAAAAATCAATACATGTTTTACATCATACGCTAGCACTTTGTGGTATTTAATTTCGTGAACGATGGAAGTAGATATTCACCTAGAGAAGATGTCTCATTCTGAGATATGCTGCAGTAGTTAATATCAAAAAATAACCTCAAGTTTACAATATTCATTGAGACGCCTTCGAAACCATTCAACGAATGGACATTTCCGAAAATGTGTGAATTGTACGAACTTGAATCTAAGCACTCCGTTTTTTCATGCGGTTGTGGACCTAAAAAATGATCGTGGTTAGTCATTTAATGGGTGAATTGGAACTTCGAGAAAAACTACCCCCTTTGATTGGCGTATGAGTCAACAAAATCTATTTATTCTTTCGTTAGATGAGATAGCGAAGTATCATTATACGAGAATAATTTCAAAAATGTACCAGAAAAACTTATAATGGCCAAGGCAACCTCGATTATGCATAGAGTTCGACTAATAGGATCGTTGATTTAGATGAGGTCAAAAAAGATAACTTCGCGCAAACTAATGTGCAAATGGAATCGTCCTTAATCTTCAGAAAACGAAATATATGATATGTGCGTTGTGGATAAGGTAGGGAAATTGTAACAGATGCGGGAAACTGGTGTTTTATGGAATGCACTCTAAGTGAGAGTGATTGTCATGTATAAAGAGGAGAACCTACAAATTAAGGTGGAAAAGATCGTCAGTTGTATTGTTTGGTTATTGGAGGAGACACAGGAACTTGCAGATGCTACACGAAATGGAGAACAATCGAAGGTAATAAGTCATTGGGTAATCTCGCAGGGAAAGATCAAAAAATAGATTAGACTGAGTATCACATCCCGGATTTTATTCCCGAATTTGTCACTCTATCTTGTAATAAACCATTGCAAAGATCGGGTAACGGTCGATAATCCTTCGGCTAGTAAGATATCTAGAATCAAAAATTTGCCAAAAAGGAACGGGATAGATAGTTAACTGTCTCATGTGTATTTTTATATTGTATCAATAAAGCAATCAGACAAAAAGGTCATTTTGACGGGTGATAACGAGGGTATTATGGTTTTATTTTATTTAATCATCGGTCCGAGATTTACAATTCCGAGATAGCAATTTCAAGACACAGCACAGATTTCTTGATATAAACTAATCCTTAGCGAAGCTAGGATATGTGGGAAATTCATTATCTGACTAATACCTCATCGTTCTGGCATTACAGTCATCGTCTATGGTATTTTTGACCTCAAACTTTTTGCATATAATATCCTAAAAATTACTGGCAAAAGTTATCGTCCAAGATGCGGAAATTCCTAACGCATTAAGGATATTTTAGCGGTATCCAAATAACAATAAAATTGGCATTTGTTTTAGCAAATATTTTTATTTTCTACAAGTTTATCAGGCGTAGCCTATTTACTATACACTCATTTTGATAATATATTTTTGCGTTCCTTTACTTTTTAATATATTATTAGCAAATATTGTATATTACACTTTTTGTGCATAAACCTTCTGTTGAATGTCATATAAATCAATGACAAAGTTATTACCAATGGCTGTTTTAGGGACTACTTCAGTATATCTTGCAACATTTGGAACTCCTTCAACGATTGGAAGGTCCCAGAAAGTGTCTGAAACCGGAATAGTCATCTGATAGACATTAAGATTGGCTGCTAGGTGTAAAAGAACGATATTGTAAAATGCCGAATCCAGTATCATATTTAAAGCTACTTTATCCTAGTAATCCAATTTACCTCTTTGGCATACAATATAAAGCAATTATTGGTCATTGTCATTACGTATTTGATCCCTGCAACAACGATCATACTAATAAAGTATAGGAGATTTATTGGCAAAATTTTAATATGATATTCTTCTAATTACTTTCTATAACTAACTCAAATCTTTGTTTTATCAGTTTTACTAAATTGATTAAAATGCTTTTTGGAATGGCATTCCATTCCTCAATCTTGATTTCTGCTGATTTTGCGGATTCATTTGTTTTAACAGTATTCCAAAGATTCTCAATAAGATTTAAGCCTGGACTGTATGTGGGCCAGTTCATAAGATCGAGAACATCCTCATTAAAAAATGATAGGACAAGATGGCTGATATGTTTTGGATCATTGTCCTGTTGAAACCGCCAATACCATTAACTTACGAATCTCAGAAAATGTTGTTTCGTCATTGCTTGTGAATTCAGTTAACATGAGAGTGGCTTTTGTAATTTTTATTATAGCCAAGATTTGTAGAAAAATTTAAGATCATGTGACATCTGATCCAATCTGTCCTTTCGGAGTATGTCCAAATTTGCAGATTGCGAGAATTATGCAGTAGCTCACAAAAGAAACAGATTATTAAGAAAAATAGCAAAATTCAAATTTTTTGTGAATGAAGAGATATCAGTAGGTAAAGATAATTTATTTTGATTCATCAATACATTTAGTATCGATTATAAAAAAAATTATTTTTATCTATCTTCTAACTGACAAAATACAATTTTTTTATAATTTTTTAGCAATTGATTTAATGTGAATATTTAGATAAAAAATACAAATAAATATAAAATTACTTTCTTTTATTATAAAGTTAAAAAAAGAGAATTTTCATCATTCTTATTATATTTTTAATTTATTATATTTTTAACTCTTCTTTTTAATCACTTTTTTCGTATTCTTAATTTATTATTAATTAATTATATCTTAATATATTTTTTTTAATTAATTTTTTTAATCACATTTTTTAATAATATTTTTTTAAATAATATTCTTTTCTCATTCATGTTCCTTTTTTTAGTTAGTTTTTTTGTTAATATTTCTTTTTTTGTTAATTTAATTTTTTTATTAATATTTATTTTTTTATTATATTGCAGATTAAAATCAGATTATACAGTTAAAGCTCGATTTAGTGATGCAAATGTTCCTGGCAACTAGCATCGCTATTTTGAAATAATTGTTTCGATTTGCCGATATCTTTGTTAGATATCACGTGAAATCGTTAAATCATGAGAAACTAAATGATTGGTTAGCACATATAATTAAGTGCGCACGCATATATCCAGTGATATCTTTTTTGTACCACTGTTACTTTATTTGATCACTGTCCAATGAATAAATTAATAAGTGTATCACAAAAAAATCTTATACAAATGATTCAAATTTATTGTTTGACTACTATTCCTGATAATAACTAATCTTTTTTGAAAAGGTATGAATCAAGATTAGTTCGAATTTTTTGATTCATATGAAAATTTAACATATTACTTCTTATTGAATTAATTGATTCAAATATGGCGGGGATCTATCTGCAAATCATCAGGTAGATTACTTAAAAATGATATTATTTCTTGAATATAATTAAGAACTTGTATTAATATGATTAATAGTGACAAGGGCATTTCTCCAGATCCAATTTACTAGATAGATCATAACTTAATTATATTCTTTGAATATTATCTTTATCAGTAAGCAAAAACTTCTCTCTCCAATTCTTTTTATCAATTTGTAAATATTCTTCTGCATTCATATGTTGATTTTCAGAAAGACAAGAAATAAATTAATAGATCTCTTCTAATTCTTTTTTGTAAGCTAAGTATAGATTAATACTGATATTCATTTATTTATTTTTAGAATTATCAGATTCATTTATAGATGGTATGATTTCTATTTTAATTCAGTAATTTTAAATTATAACTTGTATTATAGTATTCTATTCTGCTATAAAAAAATTAATTGCATTTAGAAAATGCTTAATTAATTCAAGATACAAGTAAGATAATAAGTTTTAATTTGATTTCTAACAAGAATTTTTTGATAATTTGTTTAATTAAATATTAATTAGTTTATTATTAATATATTAACTAATAAAAATCAAATTACACTTATCTTAAAGAAATTAATTATATCTGTATTACAAGATTACAAGTACATAGTTATATTTAATAGTAAATAATAAATATAACCATTAGATAAATTTCTTATTATATTATTAATAGAATATATTAATATTATTTATTAAAAGTAATATTTTTTAATATTGAATTCACATTTGATTATTAAGTTTTTTAGATAAATATTTTATATTAAAACTTATATTTAAGTAATCTTATTCCAATAATAATAAATATTTAACTGATTCTTATCAATTTTTTTAATTCTTATAATTATATATATTTATAAATAAGTAAAGATTTTAACTTTTTTTTACTAGTAATATTATATTTTAATAAAATTATAATATATTTTTTTGAAACTTTTATTTCTTATACTAAAGTAAACACAAATATATATAAAGATTTTACTTGTTAATAAAGATCTAATAATAGATAATTATAAATTATATTAGTTAAAAATAATTAATTAAATAAATTTAATTTTAAATATATCTGTTTTATAATAATTGAATATATTATTTATATTATAATTACTAATAATTTTTTATAATTTATTATACTTCTTATTTAATATTTCAAAAAAAACACTTTTATCTTTACTAATTTTTATATAGATTATATATTATAATATTATTTAAAATTAAAAAGTTATCTATATAATTTATTAAAGTTTTTAATATACAAGAAAGTTATAAAGATCTTGATTTTTTCTTGCAAAACTTTGCTTATTATAGTTTGATTTGCAATAAGAGCTTGAGATAATCAAAGAGTCAAAATATCTTTAACTTGAGAAAACTTGTAATTGATATAATTTTTTTATTTAACTTAATGAAAATTTGAATCAATAATTAATTACTTTTCTTTTTGTTTTAGAATATCAAAAATAGTATTAACTTTAATATTAAAAGATTTTTCTAATTCTTCTTGAATAAGTTTAGGATTTTTAAAACATTAAATATAAATATTATATTTTTGTAAAATAGTTAAATAATTTTAAAATACCTAATAATTATTAAAGTTTTAGATATTTTTCTTTTATTAATATTAATTTGATTTATTTTAAAAAAAATATTACTAAGTCAAGCTTATCATAATATTATAATATTTTTTCTATAGTTATAATTTATAATTTAACAAGATAGATTATTATTCTAAGAATATTATTAATATTTCATAAATTAAACTAATTTTATATATAGTAAACTGGAGAATTATATTTTATTCAGTATATATCAATATTATTAAATTATTATATTGCTAAATTAATCTTTAACTATATAATATTTATCAGTATATAAAAAAATAAGATAGTATTATTTATAAATACTAATAGATCTCATAAATTAGATTCTCTTATAATTAATAAGTATGCTACTTTTTAATATTTCAAAAAATAAATATTAAGAATTTATCTATAATATACTACTTGATTATCTATAATATACTACTTGAATAATGATAAAGATCACAACTATTACAATTTAGTGATACTCTATTTATCATAATTTTATTACATAATTATGATTGCAACTAGTTATAATCTGGTGATACTTATTTATCAATATTTGAGGAGCTCATCTCTACTTATAATCCTTTTTCAAGAGTAACTTTATGAATTTGATCTTTAAATTCTACAAAAACATTATAATCAGTACATTTTTCTACTTCTTGATAATTGCGCCAGCCATATAATAATGGATTTAATCCTTTAATATATATATGTTTATTTTTTTCTTCAAGCAAAATACAACCAATAGAGACGTAGAAATTATAATATTATTTAAAAAATTATATTAGCATTTTCCTTTCAGATGGATGTTAGAGCAGATAATCTCATTCAAGATTTAAAAATGAGCATTCTTCAAACAATTCAATATGTCATCAAGACTGGAAAAGAAGTTTTGGCTGAAATTATTTGTAATTATTGGTATCATATGAAATTCTTCCGGCTAGTACTAATGCTGATATCCAAAATCTCTTGGACAAGATTCATTAAAATGACGATCCAACACTTGATGAGCTTATTGTGCACTTGACGCACTTTGCCTCCCTAATGCAATGAATATTGATGAGTTCTTACTGTTAATAATGAGGATCTTGTTTACGAAGTTTCTCTGGATGCTCATATTATTAGGGAATTTGCATATACATTTAAAAAGGATGAAATTATGGGAGAGAATATCGGAATAATGGATAAAGAGAAGGATAGTAGTACTGAAACTACAATTATTAGTGGTAGTTCAGCATCAAAAAATTTAGAACATGTTCAAATGTTTTTACTTCAACAAGAGAATCAAATGAACAACAATACTCTTGAAAAATTTATTAGAGGAAAAATAATTAGTTCAGCTCATATGACTCGTATTGATGAGTACTTTAAATAAAGAAAGGATTGGTTTTATTATGCTTGTACCTCTTTTATCGATTAAAATCACTACTTGTTATTATAATTTCCCTAAATGCACACCCTCTTTAAATGCATGTCTATGATCGGTCCCCGGGGGTGCACTTAGGAGGTTTGACTGTATTGTGAAATACTGTAAGCATTTTTATCACCACAAGACGAATTCCGAATGTGTTGCGTTATGCCGCTTTTAAAATTTTCAGCTTAGCGCGAAGTATACCGATGATATCGATATATTGACCGATATAGATTAATTGTTTTTTCGTTTTCCCCACAATTAAAAAACAGAAAAAAAACGGATTTTACATTTTTCAGAGATTTTTCCCTATTTATCACTTCCATCTATTGTAAAAATGATCGGGGCACGCTATGGAGAAACACCATATGAACTTTTTCGGCTTACGTGACTACACAAAAGCTGCTACGAAAAAGATTCAATAAGAACGCGTTAAACGTTGACCTAACGGGAAAAATTGCCACTGTAACGGGTGCTAATATTGGTCTCGGAAAATATGTAGCAACCGAATTGTAGAGAAAAACGCGACTGGTTATATGCTCCGTTGTGACATCACTCGAGGTGAACAAGCGAGAAAAGATATTATCAGGAAGTCGAAGAAATTAAAGTTGAAGATTTTGATTCCAGATTAAAGTTAATAAAACGTTGTTGAAATTACATAAAGTTGATATTTCTGATTTGAAGAACGTTCAAGAGTTTGTGGAAAGTTTGAAGAATGAGAATGACGAAAAATGTCATATTTTGGTAAATTATTACTTTTTAAGTTGATTTTTTTCAAATTTTAAAATTTTCGAAAAGATAGGAATAATGAGCAACAAATATGAATTCACATCGCGTTGAAACAAACTTCATAATCAACACACTGGGTACATACTATCTCACAAAATCAAAGTTTCCATTAATGCAAAAAACTGGTCTGGAGCGAGAATTGTAAGTTGTTATTTTTATTAAATAATAGTAAAGCAACGCTCTAAATTTTTATTTTATTTATTAAGCTAGATCACGGTCTCTTCTGGTAGAATGTACACGAACAAACTGACATCGAAGACTTATATTGAAATATTCAAACCATTCGATAGCACTATGGCTTACGTTCAAACCAAACGACAACAAGTAGAATTGACTGAATACTTTTAATATCCCAACTAGAAACTGGTGTGAAATTCGTCGCATTATATCCCGGATGGCGTGATACTCAAAGAGTATAGGAATAAGAACTTCAATGGAAACTTTCCATAAATATGAAGTACTATCTATGCTCTATTCTTCAAGGCAATGATCCAATTTTATGGGCTGCATTCTCTGAAGAAGCGGAAAATGTTCCGAGTGGGGCTTTTATTTTTGATCGTGAAGTTGCGTCTACGCATTTGCCACTTGCAAGGACAAGGTCGGAGCCAGAAGATATTGGAAAGCTAGTGAATGAAATTGTAAAGTATGGATTGGAAGAATCTTCCGCTACGAGCATTTCCCCATAGTAAATATTTATTACTCTTCTAAACGGAACACTTTTAATTATTATGACTTATTTGCTCATAATTTAATTAATTATAAAAAGATTACTATTTAAAATAAAATGTATTTTTATGACAATGGATACGGGGAATTTACCGAGTAAGCCGTGACCACGAGATTATCTCTAGTTATTTTTCCGCATTTTCCGTTAACTAATTCGTTATTACGTCGATCGTCTTGTCGAGTGGTTCGATCGACTTTCTCTTCAATAGTGGTGTCGCTAGTTCCTACCTAAAAAGGGGAGCGGAGGCCAATCACGCGAAATATTCATGATTATGATTGGTCAATGCGAATAAAATTCTGATTGGTCGAGGGAGATAAATTAAATGTTAGGTGATAATTATAAAACGTTTTGTTTTTTGTTTTTGGTTTGGGTTTGGGAATGGTTTTGATTTAGTTTTTTTATAATAGTAAGTTCTTTTTTTTTTAATTTAACTATTTCACTTTATAAAGGTTAAAGATATCAATTTTTTTCTTAATGTTAGAAAAAAAAATAATTTTTTACTTTTTGGTTAGTTATCATGTCTGCCATCTCTTTAGTTATTATCTCTACTGTGCCTTTAATTATTACCTCTGCTATATCTTCAGTATTATTCTCTGCTATATTTTGGTCATTATGGTTTCTTTAATATCAAATATCATATCAGATGAAAAATAAAGTCATCTTTTTGACATAAATGATTTTTTAGAAATTTCAATAGAGAATTTTAATGATAATTAGTGATGATTGATTACAAATATTTGGATAAAACAAGATTTATATGAATATAAAAATAATAATACTTGAAAAATTTTCATCTATTATTTTATAAAGTATTAGAAATCAAGTACTTGATAAAAGAAAAATATTTCAAGTAAAAAATATTAATTGAGTATAATGATATAAATACTTCAAACTATGTAAATTTTTTATTAGAAATTAATAAAATAAAAATGATCAAAAGTTATCAGAAGTTAGTTAGTTAAAATAAAGATAGCTAAAAATTATTCATCTTTAGCAATCACAGCTATTATTAAAGAATATATAATAATAAAATTAGATCTTGATATAAGCTAATATGTAAAATAGTGATAAATATTAAATATAAAGTTTATAAATTTATAGAATCTCATCTTATTGAAAATTCAAATTTAATTTTTATTTAATAAAATAGAAATATCTTGTTAAAAATTATCATATTTCTTAATAATTAACTAAAGATATTATATTTATATATTAGAATAATTAAAAAACTTAAGTATTATGAGTAATTAATACTTATAAATTCAATATATAAAACTAATTAATATGATTAGTATTTATTTACTCTTTATATTTATAATACTTATAAATATTAAAATATAAATATTTACTTTTTTGTAAGTAGTAAGAGAAGATATTTTAGTAATAAGTTTAAAGGATCTAATGAATTTTGATATGAGTTTCTTAGTTATTCTTTATTTATCAACTGAAGCTTTTATATTATGAGTAAAGAGAAGAATTTTATCTTCAAGATTGAATTCTTCATATTTTTTATATTAATTTATATATTTTAATTATTTTTCTTATATTTTTAGTAGTAAATCTTTGATAATCTTTATTATAATATTCCAATAATTCATAAAATTTGTGAGATTATAATATTATTCTAAAATAACAGAGTATTAATTAGTATATAAGATATTTATTCATAATTTAATTTAAATAATATATGACTGATTAAAATATTTTTATTATTATTATAAGTAAATTCTGTAGTAGCTAAATTTTTATCACATTTATTTTGCTAATAAATTATATATATTCTGAGTATCTCTTTAAAAGTTCTGTTTAATCTTTCTATTTGATTAATAGTTTATAAATAAAAGATTATAAATAAAAGATTATAAACATGATAAGTTTAGTTTCAAGTTATTCAAATAGTAATTTTCAGAAGTAACTTGTAAATTTAATATCTCTATCTGATATTATAATTATGAATAGATTATATAATTTAAATATATTTTCAAAGAATATCTTAGCAATATCAGGAGCAGTTACTGTTATTGTAATTGGTATGAAGTATGCTCTTTTAGATAGTTTGTTTATAAATATAACTATAATATTATATCCAAACTTTGTGATAAAAAACTAAATTATAAAATTCATAATAATATATTCTCATCTCTTTTCAAATATAACTAAAGATTAAAGTAATTCTAAGAATTATTGATTATTATTTTTGTTATACTAACATAATTTATAAATGATAATATATTTATAAATACTTTTATTTATCTTTGATCAATAAAATTATTAAGATACAGCTATATATATCTTATCTATTTTAATATATTCTGTAATCAATATATCATGAAATTCTAATAATATTTTTGCTTTCAATATTTTATTATCTAATATAGCTAGATAAATTATATTTTTCAAATATAATAAATCTTTTTTCAACTCAAAATATTTTATCTTGACCTATTACTTAGATATAATACTATTAAAGTTTTTTAAGACTTCATATTTTTCTGTAAAATATTTATCTTTCTGATATTTTCTAACTAACTATTCTTTATTTACAAGATTGATAATAACTATTATGATATTTGTCAGATGTAATTGACAAAAAAGTATATTAGTAATTATATTATCTTTATCAAATTTATATTTTATTTCAAAATTACTAGCTTATATAATCTCTAACTAGTAAATTTATTTCTTGGAAAGATTATATTATATCTTGATATATTTCAAAAAAATATAGTCTATAATTATTATAAACTTCTGATCTTCTAAATATAATTTTCAGAGCCTAATGATATATACTATTGTAAATAATTCTTTTTCATAAACTAAATAGTTTTGTTCAGCTAGTGAAAGTTTTCTTGACTCAAATATTATTGACTAATTACTCTTACTTTGATTTTAATTTAATATAGCTTTTATAGCAAAATTTGAAGTATCTATAGTAACTGTAAATAAAGATGACTTCTCAACTATTATAATATAATAATAAATAAAGTATTATCTAGTTGCAACTAGTTGTAACTTATAAAATTTTGAAGTTACAATATATTATAATAGATAACAAATAAGTATTATATACTTGTTATATTATCTCTAACTATAAATAATAATTTTGAATCAAATAATAACAAGACTAACGCTAATATAAGATATTATTTTAGAATATCAAATACTTTTATGTTAATATAAATTATTCATAATTTTTATTTTTATAAAAAAGTATTGTAATTAGTAATATAGTTACTAAAAATTCTTTAATAAATTTTTTATAATAGCTTGCAAGTTTTAGAAAAGAGTAAAGTTTTGATATATTTGTAAATGCTAGTTAATTTTTAATTATTACTATCTTTCTTTAATCAACTAAGATAATATTTATTAAAATAAAATATCCTAAATATTCTATATATTATTATATGATATTATATTTCTTTTATTTAATATACTATTTATATTTGTAAAGTATTTTTAGTACTATTTAAAAATATTATATATATTCTTTCTTTATCTTGCTATATATTAAAATATTATTCAAATATATAACTATAACTTATCTAGATAAATATGAGATATATTATTTATAAGAATTATAAAGATGACTGATATATTGATAAAATTAAGATATGGAATTAAGAATTTATAGTATTCATAATAAGTTTTAAATACTATTTTATGAATATTTTCTTTTGTAATATATATTTGGTAATATTCAAAATATAAATCTAGCTTTAAAAAATATTTTAAATCTGTGAGTTTATCTATAAATTCATTAACTTTAGATAAAGAATAGCAATTCTTTATAATAATTTTGTTTAAAACTCTATAATTAATACATAATCTTAATATATCTTCTTTCTTATATACAAATAAAACTGATATTCAAAAAATAAAATACTAGAGTGAATGAAATTTTTTTGAATTAGATCAGCTAATTATTTTTTGAACTTATTCATCTCTGTAAATAAGAATATAAAGATAGATTTAAATGATAATTTAAATTCTGAAATGATATTAATTTTGTAATTAATTGCTTTTTTAGATGATAGTTAATTTGATAAGATTTTTAAAAATATATTTTTATACTTTTTCTTGATTTTTAATACTTCAAGTAATAGTTATTTTTCTTTAACTTCTTTTTTTCTTTAATATTATTAAGATATATAATGAAGAGTTTTATATCTACTGATAGATTGATAATTTATTATCTTGAAATATATATTTAATTACAGATTAAGCTGGATTTTACTTTATTATCTACTTACACTTTGATTATCTTTAATTTATAGATAATAATAATATTATTATTTCTTTAATTTATAATTTAGTTAGTATAAAATAATTAAGATTTATCTAGAATAAGATTATATCTTTATAATTTTAATACTTGTATATTTATCTTATGCATCTATAAGTATTTAATTTCAATTTATTAATCTTAATCATAATAATGATAGTAATTTTCTTGCTATTTGTATATTTAATTATAATAATATTATTTATCACAGCTTAGTTTTATTTTTCTGAATAAATTTCTTATTAATAAAGTTTTTGAATGTGTTATTATCTAGTAATACCTATATTAATTTGCTATTTACTTGACTATTGAATTTTAATAATCTTTCTTTATTATCTTTTAAATAAGTAAATTCTATTCTTTTATAAGATTATAAAGATTCTTTTTATTTATCTTTTATATTTGCTATCTTGATCTTTGATTTAAAATAATAATTCTTTATAAGTAATCTAATTTATTATAATTATAATATATATCTTTGGATTATTATTTTTTTAATTATTATTACTCTTTTTATTATTATAATAACTTTCTGCTTGATCAAGTTCTATTGATATTAGACTATTATTCTGATAATTTTTATATTAGTTCTAAAAGTAATAATTATTATTATATTTACTTGATAGGTCTATTAGTTTATCTTGTTTATATATAGTAATATTATTATCATAATAACT